CACACCCCGGAAGCAATGGATCTGTGGGAGAATTACCGGCGAATTACACGCGCCTCCAACGACCACGCGTACTATTTGAGCGCGTGATACAAGCGCATGTAGAGTGATACATACATGTAGTATACGCATGCGCGCGCGCGCTCGTACTACACGTATTACACGTAACCAGTAACCTACACTTACAGTCACACAGAACCCACACTTGTCACACGTACGCGTGCGCGTATTATGTATGAATGCATAAAGTATAATAATAAAAAAAATAATAATAAAAAAAACAAACAAAAATCGGCGCAATTCTCTTCTCCCTGCCGATCTTATTTCATTCTCTTACTTATCTCATTTTATTTTACCTCAACTATTTCTTCTATCTCATTTTCTCTCTCTCTCTCTCTTTCTATCTTGCCCTTTTCCCTTCTCTCGTCCATTTGTCACGTTCTAAATTGATATTTATAGTTGATATTTATATCCGTTCATATATTTAAAATTAAATATAAAATCTTAGAACAGGAGCACAGAGTTTTGCATAACACATAATGTATAAAAAAAAGAATCAATCAAAGTCCTCCATTTTCTTTCAATAAAATAAATTCTAATTGGAGTTAATTTCCTTATGTTTAATGCGTCATGCAAAGGTGTATGCTCCGACTCTTAAGAAGTTATAGACCAATCATAGCCATATATTAGCATTTTCATTTTCTGAAACATATTCTTCGCATTTTTCCTTAGTCAATAATTGCTTATTCTTTTGCTCACTTCAACCATATACAAGTTACAGCTTCGTATTAATGCTTCTGTGATGACATAAGCCCTCTCCTCAATTTCTACGAGAAAGTACTTTTAATGCATGTGAATAAAACAAATGCTGATTCCGAGAAACATGCGCTTATTGTTGACCAATTCATGGCTTTTACTGCCTCGCAAAATTTGCTTTTTGACGAGTTCGCGATTGATTTACAACCAGTACTTTTCAATAGTTTTGTTCCTCAACGAAATATTATTGTTTTTTAAATTAAATCGGCCGTTATATATAAATCAAATGTCCCTGCATGAAGCCGTAGAAACAACACGCGCGTCTCTATTTCTCCCTCAACGAAGACTTCCACGCGATCGCTCTCGCTTTGATTGAAACCACTCGTCTACTGTCACGAATTCGAAACAGACATTTCCCGATCACGCGGCGCATTCGTTTCGCACAAGTGATAGAGATTTGTGTGTAGGTCGTCGCACGTAAAAAAGTCTCCTCGCCGCGTGTAGGATATATGTACTCTTGACGTGTGCATATTCAATTTCGCAATTTTTAGTTATATCAAAAAGAGAGAGGGGACACGAGAAGAAGAGAGGGAGGAAGGAAGGGGAAAGAGAGAGACTCAGTCTCGCACTATCAGTTAAATTCGAAAGCCACTGCTTACTTTACCAGCTCCTTTCTCCTTATTGGATGCTTAATCACTTAGAATTTTGCAGCTTAGTTATGAATACATCCCATTTTTGTTTCTCAAATTATTTAACAATATTTTTCATCAGATTTGAGTACAAAAATCAATATTAGGCTTTATTCAATGAAATTAATCGATCACAGATCAATTCTGGATTAAACAGTTTGCAAACATCATGATAAATTTAGAGCCTTAATCACGAATTATTGAAACGTGTTCTTTCTTGTATCCCAAAAAACCAATTCATTACCAAGGCCACTGAACAATTTCTTTGTATCTGTATTCTTGTTCTTGTTTTTATAAACGAAATCTGAAGTATCACTTTGCACGCAATGTGATTACTTGTGTTTGCAGAAATTTTTCACCATTTTGAAAACGATTAATTATGGAATCTATACATTTTCGCAATCTCAACACGTCCTCTTTCAAAACAAATATCAGACTGTTTCTGAACACAGTAACGCTTCTTTCTTCTAATTTCCTATTTCTGAATTTCTTCTTTTTTCAGATATGTATATTTCTTTATAAGACATAACTATCACTTTTTTGGTCTTCTTTCAATTTTATTTACAGTTTCAGACAAATAATTTGGAAGAAGCAACCAACTATGTTGATCATAGTAGCATTAATAATAATGATAATAGTAGCAATAATAATGATACTAGCTGCAATACTATTGCATTCTCAGCCACTTCTGTAAAGTACTTAGGAGAGAAAACACCAACGAGAAGTAGTCTTCTACCTCAGATATTTTGTCATGCTCTTTTCTCTAGTTCAGTGCTGTCAAACTTCTGATTGCATTTTTGAATGATTCTGTGCTTGTTTACTTACACCCACAAAGCATTGTTATCACTTCAAAGAAAGCCGGTAACACTTCATTCTTAGAGTCTCGAATTTCTCAACACATGTCGATTTATGCTATGATTCTTGTCAATTTTTCCTTTTTGATTCTGAAGTGTTAGAAGCAGCTTTTGTGGAGATCCTTGCATAAATATACAATAACAGATATTTGCAGAAGGGAAATCAGTGATTTCAGAGAGACAGAGAGAAAGAGAGTGTATGTGTGTGAGAGAAAGAGCGAAAAGGTGAGATGATAAAAGAGAGAAAGACTGGGTAAAACGCACGGAGCCGATTTATACATACAATTCTTACACGACGAGCACTGCGCTGCACAGAGCCAAAATTCTGAGTTCAGCCCGCAGCAGCGACGACAACAACGCGGCAGGACATCATTCTAATGGAGTATTATCTTGCACGTAATGTCAAAACACCGACACACCTATTACCCGGAATTCCACCCAGTCCTCGTCTACAATACACCATTCTCGACACCGACGGCCATCTTGCGCCATGACGTCGCCGTCATCGAAGGCGCGCCCGACTCCGCCCGAGCACCGTCGTTGTAACCGCACAGTATAAGCCGCGTTCTACGATCGGCGGAGCATACTATGACGCTCAAGATCGATCATAGTACGAAGCAGGGAGATGCTTGAGAGAGGCTATCTCAGTATTTTTTGCAAAACCTCCTGTACACTAGCGCCAGTACATCTATTTTCAAATTAAGTACTACATAGCTAAGTATTGACGGTAAAATCGTGATGTAAAAAAAAAAACAAACAGGCAGTGCAAATCCATACTAAATCACAGTGTCGAAAATCGATAGGTGCATAGGTGCCAATCGATGTGTGCATGCGTGCGTTTCCACTCAATTGGGCACATTCAAGATCTAAAATTCTGATTGGATGATCTAACAGAATACACCAATAACAGCGAATGCTCACTCAGCTGTTGAGTCCGCTGAACGCGCCCAATGGGTACATCCAGAAGTATGATCGCTCACTGAGCGCTCAATGAGCTCTTGTACCTGTTTGGTTTATATTTTTAGATCTAATGGAACATGCCAATCAGATGTAAGAGCTCACTGAGCGCTCAGTGAGCGGTCAATGCTTCTGGATGCACCCATTAGATATTAAAATATTAACCTGTCAGATACCAGTTACACCGGAATACACGATTCTGATAGGTTAATATTTTAATATCTAATATCTGTTCCTCCATTGTGCGCAGCCTTGCGCTACTGTATATGCTGTGGCACAGCCAGCACTGCTGCCAACGTAGCAGCAAGTACGCAAATCCAGCTAGCAATCCTACAGGAAAATAAGCACCATGTGCCGCTGGCTTCATCTTCATGCATTAAACTTTGTTTTCGTTGCACTGTGCACACTAGTGCAGAGAGTGCAGCGAAAAAGAATAAACTTAAAGTCTGTTCGTGTTGCTTGTACTCATTGCACTTCAGACTCAGCATGTTTGTTCTCTCTCTCTCTCTCTCTCTCTCTCTCTCTCTCTCTCTTTTTCCAAATTATATATTTATCTCATTTTAAATGCAAAAATTTGTGAGGATTTCAAGTAACGCGAATTTATGCGGTTGAATTTCGGAAATTCAACATTTTATAGAATCAATTGTTATCTAGGTTTCAGGAGGTTTATTACACTGTTCTTGTGCAGAGACATTTATGGACATACATACATGTGAGGATCATGCGCTTTATTTAATGTAAGATAAGTTTTAAAAAGAGATTTTCATCAAAGCGCATTAGTTATATATTTTCAGAATTGCAAATTTTCATCCATTGACAATTGTTGTTTAGTATAATCGAGTTGTTTAGTATAAATCGAAACACTTGGAATATTTATTATGTTAATTATATTTAAATTTTTCAGTACATTAACTTTAATTGTAGTACATTAATATAATGTTTGGTTCATTGCTCTGTTTATTGCATTAAAAAAATTTTAGTAAAAGTATCAATTAGAAGACTAAGCTTCAATGACCTTGATCTTTACAAATATTGTCAAGATCATGACCCTGAGAATATATAATTTTGACGTAAGAATTGATACCTTTTTTGGAATTATGAGAGTGATATATATATGTATCCATTGAATGCTTTAAATATTGAATAAATAATGTTGAATGTGCCGAAATAAAACGTCATTTTTTCAAACTTTTTTGTTAATAACTTTTTAACAAAGGACAAGCGACGGCTAAAATCTGTTGAAGTTAACTCAAGTTAATGACGTTGACAATATATGTCAAGATCATTGGAGTTCAGTCGTCTAATCGATACTTTTATCAAAAATTTTAATTCTCTGAACCTTTACATATTTGTTTTTATCTTTAATCATTAATTACTTAAATACTGTATAATAATAAATTTGGTTAGACGCTCTAGTGGTGATGCATATTGAAGCCGTTATATACACAAATTGACGTAAAAATTTTTGATTAATATAAATAAAAACGAGTTTTAAGCGTATGAAATGAATTTTTAAACTTCTTTTAAATTTCTAATCAATATACATTTATATCTACTGTTAAGTAGCATATTTTATATAATACGAAATATTTTTATTTTATTATCACATTCAAATTAAAATGTATAACAGATTTAATATGCACCAATGCGCATTAAAGTTTGAGTCAATAAAAAAAATCTTGATTTTATACATTCTCTCGAGAATTGACGAAGTCTAGTAAGTATAATGGCAACGTCGCACTTTCAATGACAAAGCGATTGCCATCACATTATAGATTTGGTTTCTCATCAAGAGTAAGATTATGCCATTCTTGTCGTTTCTTTTCGCAAGATCCACTTTGCATTTTTTTTTCCTTGCTAAAATTTTATTTTTAATATATATATTTTCTTTTATATCGTGATTGTGCGGACATTTTTGTCTTTTATATAAATATTTTGACAGCGATGCTTCGGTGCTTATTGTGTCTTCTTCTTCTTCTTGATTGGCTCTTGTCTCCTTCTAAAGTATGCGGAGGCAATACGGCCAGGATCACATTATAAGGGGTTACAATATCAAAAATGAGTACAAGGTCAAAGGGATGATGCAATGCCCGCGAAAATGACATTGCTCGAACAGACCCCGGGCGCTTGATCTACAACGTCGTCGCGCCGAAATAACGAACGAGACGAGCACAATTCGCGGACACGCACCAGGCCCTTGTGGATTCAATTCCTCGGTCAAAGTCGGCAACACTTTCAAAAATATTAAATTGAAAGCACCCGATCCGAAACGCGTCCGCTGCAGTCGAGTGGTTCCTGGTTCCTCGGAACTGCGGTACTGTCACTCGTATTTGTCTATTCGTAAAAATGCGACGTTGCCACGATCTAATTTTTCTTATGTACTATACGTGATACGTAGATTTTCTTTCAATATACATTGATTTAAATTTAGAGTTATGTTTGAGTCTGTCGTTGACTCGCATTGTTGGGGTATAACCACTTTATAATACCTTTTTGAGCAAATTAACAGTTTTCTTTGACATTAATCCTTTTTCTAAAAAAAAATTAAAAAATTTGTATCGAAAAGAACATGAGGCAACATTTTTCACGTTGAAATGTCTGATGGGCAAATTAATAACAAGGCCGATTTTTTGTAATATATTGTCAAGAATTTGCAAAAATTTTGGATTTCGTTCCTTTTTATTTTACGCCTTCTCCTTATAGTTCCGTATGATGAGATGATATTCTCTTTAATACCGCGTGATACAGATTATAAAAAGCATAGGAGCTAACAATCAAGATTCCTATAAGAGCCAATCCAAAAATCCAGGACAAAAGATTGCCATCTATCATGTTAGAAGCTTCTTTCCTTTTCCGAGCACTAATCTCTCCCAGTGTAGTGCCCTTTCGCTCTATCATAAGTTTCTTCATACTGGCGAGCTTTTCTCGTAACTCATCTACAGATTCGGCAATCTCCTCGATCGATTCTCCCATAGGTACATCTGCAATTTATGTAAATACGTATATAAATTTATGTAAGTATAATTATATATGAGAACGAGGTATTGCTGATTAAATATATGTTTAGGATGTTCCAGAATATTTGGGACATCTTTTTATATGCAGATATATATAGAGTAAACTAAACTAAATTGAAAAGAGTCCTTTACAACTATTCAATTTTCGCAATAGTTATAACTATTATAATTATTTATTATTGAAAATTGAATTATAAATAATTTCATGTGCTTCTAGTAATCTCAATCGCTGGGTGATTACATCTTGTAGTATTGTAGTAATATAGTATTTATTAAATATATATAGTATTTGTTAATAGTGTAATAGTATTTATTAGTATTATTAATATATTAAATGATATTTTTTTTCTTATTCAAGGACTTGCCCATCGAATTGTGATTACTGAGTGTGAAGAATGTGTTCTAGAAGTAAATGTAAGGGTGAAGTCACACTGTACGGGAATCAGCATGTGGGACAGAGGATGCGTGACTCGAACAGCCAATCAGCGCTCTTCCGCATTTTTATATCCCGAATGTCTTTCGTGCCCTGTGCACACAGTGCGTGGAAGACCCGAAAATGACGTGTTCCGGAAAATAAATACATAATTAAAAAAATAATTGTTCCATCAAAACAGTAATATTTGTTAATTTTATTTTCCTCACGCGTGCACGTAATGTGCTCTCTATATACCGCAACGCTTTTGCGTGCGGTAAATAGCCAATACCTCAAGCCGTTGAGTTATTTTTCTAACCCCATTTTTCATAATGTAACGCAAAAGCGTCCTCTATCCCATATGCTGATTCCCGTACCGTGTGTGACTTCACCCTAAGAAATTATCTTCGAAATTGTTATATTCGTCACATAATATCAGTATATGTTGGAATGTAGCTACAGTAAGAGCCACCATTTTTATACATATTATATATAATCATTGTTGTTTCATGAATTCATTTATTTAAGGGGATCCTAAAGCCTCCTGTATTATCTAAATCGTATAATTTTTGTATCGTAAATACTTTTTTTGTCATTCACAGATTCGAAAATCCTTTTACAGAATTAAAGTATACGCATTAATACGTGCCTATGAGGTAGAATCTATGCTGAAAACGATAAAAAATTTTAAAATTGAGTTCTTCTTTACCATTTTTTAGTCCAATATGGCGCTCCAGAGCTGTCAAGTCTTAGGGTCTACGCACAATAGGAGAAATATTAGGAACAGATATTAAATATAAGAATTTTAACCTGTCAGAAAGCGCACATTCCACAGTACACAGTTCTGATAGGTTAAAATTCTTATATTTAATATCATACCATTTTTTAGTCCAATATGGCGCTCCAGAGCTGTCAAGTCTTACACGTCGTAACATTTGTTTTATATAAAAGCTGCGCAACAGCTGTACTTAATGGGCCTTCTACAATAAGCCGTAAGTCACAAATCATAAGTCATAAACTAGAAATGGACCAATCACAGTTGTCAATTTTGAGTTTCTTACTTCCGATTTATGACTTATGGCTTATTGTAGAAGGCCCATAAGAAATAGTATAGTCCACAGATACGTAGTTTGCATGAAGAAACAGCGTGGAGTTCTTAACATTAGATTTAGATGTCTAATTAAAACATAATTACAATACAAAAAATAAAAATTTACGTATGTGCGTGAGTAAGATATTGATGTATAATAGTGATGTGTCAATGACACGTATAATGTCTATGTGTAAGATGTCTTAAGGATCCCCTTAACGCATAACATATGGTATAAAATGCCATAACATGGCAATTTAATAAATTATTTAAGTGTCAAAAGAGTGTTTCGAAACCACATTACGTGTCCACGATGTACTAAAAAGATTCAATTAAAACCAGACGATTCGCTTATAATGCTTTGCACTAATAATGTATTATAAACAAATATGTTGATGAAAACGGTAAAAAAAGACATACAATTTTAAATTAAGTGCGTTAATATGATTCTCAAAAGCACATTTAGATATAGCAAAAGTATGTAATATTATTTGCTACTTTTTAATGATGAATTCACTATGACAACAAACTACTGCAAGCTGAAACAGAAATTTCGTCAACTTCTGCTGTGGATTAATTGGATCAATTTTTGCCGTGAAGTATGGTAAGTGCTATTATTGATGTAGAACATATTTTCAAATCATTAAATTATTTACATATTTTATAGTAAATCAATGGTTGACCAACGGCAATAAACTATTAGGCGGTCTAAGAATTATAATCGAAATAAACGAATCGAAATTTTGACTTTGAAAGTATCACAAAAGTAGATTAATTACTGAACAATGATTATTTGGAGGTTTAGAAAGACAAAATGATCATTTGTTTGACATTTCGGTAGCAAACAGAACAGCGAGTACACTAAACCTCTAATATTCATCATTATATGTACATTGCACCTGGAAGTATTATATAATATATAAGTGATAATTAGCGTGCTTATGATGCTTTATCTAATAAAAATTATATACACGAAACTGTAAATCATTCTTGTAACTTTGTGGATCCTCTTAATGGAATTATATTCAAAATATTAAACGATTGTGACATGATATATGATACGCAATAGAATACCTCGTTTTAGTATGCGAAAGTATATAATATTATTATGTATGTATATTATTTAGCCGAATTTATTTTCAAACAAAAATATAATTATTTAGATAGAATTGATAAGTATTTTGACAAAGAATGTACAATATTTCTTTTAAATTTAATCTGTAATGTTAAACTTTGCATTTTCTGGCTTTATGTTTCATTTTTTCATATGATGAATGGAAATCATATTAATGTTTCTGTATACAATTCAACGTATCTGTAATTACTTAATTTGTTATGTTTTTAATTTCTCGTTTATTTCTTTTTATATTTTAATTAATTAATGAGGAAAATAAAGTCGGAAGGTTTCACCATTTTATACTTGAAAATATACCTGTGACTACACATTATGCAGTATTTTATGCGGAGAACATTGGAGTGAGTTTACGTCTCAAATATGTGCATTATTTCTTAATTTTCTAAGTACTTAAATAGTTGACATAAAAATCGAGAAATATCCTTACTTACCGTTGGTACCTGGCGTACAAATATGTCTTTCAGTTTTCATGATGTTATCAGATGACACGCAATTTCTCGAGTCCGCTTTTTGGTCCGGAACATGATAGTATTGATTATACAGCATCCCGCAACATAGCGCAGTCTCTGTGCACCATACAGCTGAGATTATTCAATGGCCTGCCATTGGATGATTAAATTTCGCGCGATTTCTGATTTTAATTTGATTCTAAGTAGCATACAGCGTCTACAAAGTAATTAAAAAGTGCTAAAAAATGTATATGAAAAACATACATATCAGGAGACGCGGTTGAGTCTGATATTATAAAAAAATGCTGCAAATATATTGGGCAATTAAGAATATAAATTTTTACGATTAAAATAATATAATCATGTCCGTAAGTGCACTTGATGCATAATTATGAATATATGCATGTATTTTTCTGTTCGATTATGTCATTCATATATATATGTTGACGTCTTCTTCTTCGCAAAATCATTTCCCCTTTAACTTTTGTGCCTTTTAAAAATTATTTATTTATTAATATCTGTTGTTGCCTATCTACGTATATCTACATTATCTATCCCATACGTTATTTGTTCACCTGGTTATCTGGGGTAATTCGGGGGAAGAGATGTCACACTAAAGCATTTATTCTTGAACAATTTTTTAATGTCATTGTGTGTGTGCGTGTGAATTACCAACGAAAAAATATTATTTATATTCTAGAAACCTTTCTTTATTCACACAAATTAACGAATTAAACTTTTGATATTCCATATTATTGGAAAAAATTGATATGTCATACCCTGCAAAAGTGGTATCTTCCTATTGTATGTACATACCATATACGGATAAGATGCTACCGCCTATATAGCAGATGTCACAAGTGATTAAATAATGTAAATAATGTAATGCAATATAAACGGGAACGGTTCACTTGCATAAAGCTGGTTCTACATTGGACGCAAGCAGCAAATCGCATGGACGCAAGCAATGCATTTCATAAATGCATAATACAATTGCGTAAGTGTAGTTATACGAATTAACCAATCACAGTCAAATACGAAAAAATGTTCGACTATGATTAGTCAATGCTTACAACTTACAACTACAGCCACTTATGCTGGATTCACACTGCATCCGATTTTCGTCGTACGACGTCTCTGCAACCAATCAGAAAACAAAATTTTGCTTCGTATCGATGATACGATTTTTCTGATTGGTTGCAGAGTCGTCGTACGACGAAAATCGGATGCAGTGTGAATCCAGCATTATAATTACGTTTACGCGATTGTAGAATGGGTTGAATCATGGTATAATAAGAAAGGTATAGCAAGGCGCATGCAGGGGAAGTGGGAAAATTGATTGACCAACCACAACGCTGTAAGTTTTTGAGGCGCCAATTCAAATGTCTGTATGTACTCAGGTAGATGGAAACAAATAAATCTTATTACAAATAGCCTTGAATTATTTAATTATTTAGTTAATATGTCAAAACTGAAGAAATATATATATATGTAAGTGCATGTGTGTATGTACATAGAGTATACGCTATTTCGTTTCAACAAAATTACTGGATACTCTCCAACTATCCTTTTACTGCAGAGATAAGTTATCTTGATAAAAAAGTTATTGGTACGCGTTAGAAGAAATAAAATACTTAGAGAAACATGAAAAATGACGTTTTTCACAAAAAATCATAACTCAGTCAATTTTCAATACTTTTATCTAAAAATTGAACCTGTACCTCTTGAAATATGGATCTTTAAGATAAAAAATACTGTAATAGTGCAACTTTTAAAAAGGTATTTATTTGGGAATCTGAAGTGGGGTCTTCCAGTACCCCGAGGGCGTTTTAAGGGTTAACAATAAATTCTGAAATAAATGTAATTTCTATATATACATATATATTCAAAAGTATATATCATTAATTACATTATTAAAATACAAAATCTCTTATAATTATGTATGTACATATGAATAAAAATGCACAATATTTGAGGTTAGAATACAGGTCTTTGATATGTACATTTATTACATATATAAGTATGCGTATTTTTGAATATAAAATTGATAAAATGGTAAACTTAACTTACTGATGATTTACTTTTCACGTCACTTCTGCAATTTTTCGCTATTTACTATTTTACTCGATCTTTAATCGCTTCTTATCACTGGTGATATGTATGTACATATATATGCCATACATAGTGTAAGGTTCTCGGTGCATTTGAATCGCCACTCAAAAAACTTACTATATTGTGATTGGCCGCAGCTGCGCGTCCTCCTAGTTGCTATACCTCTCTTATTATACCATTGGTTGAATTATCGAAAACTAGAAAAGAGTGAAAGCGAAGATGTTGAGTATGAGTGCAAAAAGTGCAAGTAACGTGAACAGACTTGCTGTGATGTGATACTTACATACTGTAAAGATTTTCTATGCAAAAAATATCTGAAAGGAGCATCTGAATAGAAGAACTCAATACAAGTGTTGATCGATGTTCGATAGAATATTAGAATAGATTGGAACACGCTTTTCGTCAAAGAGGTAACAATATTAATATTGAACATTTTATCAATCATGATATGTGCGTTACATTTTTGTCATTAAACAACTTTAGATCCTTATTCTTCACTATTCTTCAGAAGTGCGGAGTAATGCAGGTGATCGAATTCGTTATATTTATCACACATGATAAACAAAAACCAAATCGGTGTGCGTTGGGTATCGAGGATTGCTGTAAGATGTAATATTTCTGCCGAGACCGACAATTTGTAAATTTAATATGGATGACGACCCGCGACTGTCACATTATGTATACATTTATATGGCTAATAGAGATAAACCATTAAAATTTGCATTTATTGTTGGTGAAACTATCGAATATCTGTGTATAAAGGTGTGAGAATATGATTATTTTTCTTTTAGTTGATGAAGCATGGAATGTTACTGTATACCTCTATGGTAAAATGAATGTTTTTGACTTGATGGTTTTTAAAATTTTGCTCTGTGTTATCTATTAATCATATACTATCATTTTTGTTAAATAGTATCGCAATAATAAATCGACTCTCTTATCAATATTTTTACAGAACACAAACTAATAGTAACATTAGATCAATAATTATGATTTTCTACTCAACAATGTAACTATTATATATATATATAACATGTGTTATATAAATTTATATTATGTGAATAGTTTTAAATTGATATTATATGTTATTGTTAGAGTTTGTATTCCATGGGTTTATCAAAAGTCACTGATTGAAGAGACTGTAGTAGAGATTCAAATTAATTTTGAAAATCTTATACATAATTACAATATCAATCATGTTATAAAATTTGACTTATGATACATGTACGATCATGTACACTTTTCTCTAAGACTCATACTGACTATTGAATTGTAATTACAGTTGTATGTTAACTGTAAATCAAAACAAACAAATTTATTTAATTATATTATTTATTGATTTTTGTAAAATAATGTATTAATAAATTTTAAATCATCTATTTTTATTTTTTATTTTATCAACAATTTGATTTGTATTTTTTTTGTTGTTTTTGCAAAATTAATTTTATTTTTCTGTAATTTATATTTAAGTAAATTTTAGTTATGCTTCTATTTTTTATCTTTTTATACAAAGCAATCTTAATATTTTTTTTAAATCAAAACTTTAATTTATAGATATGCCATACTTTCAATATAAATCCTTTGGCGAGACATTTGTTTGCACTGCAAAGTTACTCTTCAAAATTATGGTTCCCTTGTGGTCACATACTAGAAGAAGACTCAGAGAAGTGTAGATTCAACTTTCGCTTAAGATTCAAGCCATCCAGTATGGATAGGCTAAGAGAAATAGATGTAAATGCATATAATTATTATTTTGAGCAAGTTCGCAAGGATGTATTAGATAATAAAGTACCTGACATTGTTTATGAGAAACATAAACATGAATTAATTGGCCTAGGAGTTAGTGACATGTACAGGTAATATATGAGCAATTTTTCTTTGATAGGACAATGTAGAATTGTTATTTACAAATTATTTTTTGTAAATATAATGTAGACTTTATTTAATATAATAACTGAATGTTATGTGATGTTTATTTATTACAATATTTTTTATTACAGGGTAATGCTTGAAGAAGAACTCCCACGAGAAATTGTAGAATCAGAATATAAAAAATATATACCTAAGGAATGCATAAAAAGACATGCCTTTTTTATTAGAAAACCTATTCACAATGCACTTACAAAGTTATCTGGGTATGATGCTGCATATGTCAAGGAGCAGTATTTGAAACAATTTGAACGCATGGCTCCAAATTATCCATACGAGGAATATACAGCATTAATGGATAAAGATGTTCCTAATCTAAGAGCTAAAGTCTTGCTTAGGGTTACCATAGAGCAAGTAAATTACTGTGAGATTGATATTGGTACTTGGAAAACAATTTGCAGGATAGAAGACATTTCAACTCTTTCCATAGGGTAACAACAAATATATGTCATAACATATTTCAGTACATTAGCTTTCCTTCTTAATACACAATTTTAAAATAAAATGTTAAAAAATAATTTTTATAGCCCATATAAATTAAGTACAATAAAAATAATGAACATATATTATCACATTTTCATATTTTAGAAAGAACAACACTGTGTTAATTGGGAGGAGGACTGGCATACCATTGTGTGTACAATTTGATACAAAAACGATTTTATTGTCATTTGTATCTGCATTGGATGGATATTATCGCTTATCTGTTAAGTGGAATTTTAATCTCTGTAGTGGTGATGTTAGTATTATTACGCCTTCGTTAGAAAGATTACAAAAATTAAGGTGCCATGGACCAGTTGGGTAAGATGAATTTTATAAGATGAAAGCTACAACGTTCCTACATATATAATATTTATATAGAGCCTCTAAAAATGTTTCAGAAAAGATTTCTCGTATACGAAACTTAAGGAAAAATGTGCCAACGAGTCAGGAAGTTATATACTACGCGAGAGTGAAACCGAGTATTGTGTTTTTTATATCGACGTTTACAACAAAGACGGAACTATATCTTCGCAAAAAGTAGTAGAATCTAAACCTGATAAATTTATAATGACAAACAGTTCTCGGGTGTATGAATCTTTGAGGCATTTAATTTCTTCATTCCAAAATCCCAATGAATCAATATACTTTGGAAAATGCTTGGGATTTTCAGAGTATGGTACATATATTAATTAGTTACATATGAATTATATATCATATATGTACGCGCGCACGTGTGTGTTAAAGGAAATATCGATATTTTAATTATTTTTCATTTATATATAGAAAATTTATTTTCTAGACAAGTCCAAATTATTACTTTGTGCTTCGGAAAATGTCGTAAACGAAGTAGCAGCAGACGAGGAAATAATTACTACTCTATTGCAAGGTGGACCGCGATGCGTACCATGGAATGAATTACAGGTATACAAAGCGATTGCAAAGAGTGATGAAGATTTGACTTGTTCTACAATAATGACGGGTTTGCATCGAGCTATATGGCGAGTTGCTAAAGGCAAGAAACTTGAAGTTATGATGAAAATATTGAAGACGGAGGAGAATAATTATACCAAAGAATTTTTAGAATTAGTTGGCAAATGGAGCCAACTGCGTTCGGTAGCTTTAGTTAGGTAAATATTAGAAATTTTAGAAAGAGGTATTGAATCATGGAAGTGTCGAAATATTATATTCTATTTCGTTTTCAGATTATATGGCATAACAGTAGCCCCAACGATCGGAATGCTACTTGAGCTGGTGAATTTGGGTCCGTTGGACAAGTACCTGTGCAGCAATAGTAAGTCTGTATTAACGGTTGATATGGTAGAAGCCACCGTCTGTCTGGCAACAGCTCTATGGCATTTGGTAAATTTCTCCAAATATTTGTGTTATATCTTAATGTTAATATCTTAAACATGCAAGATTATATAGGAGGAGAATCGTGTAATTCATGGAAATATAAGATGCCGGAACGTTTTCATACATTCGCATACAGATAACAGTTTTATTGTCAAATTGGGTGATCCTGGTCTCTTTACTTATACCGACGACGAGTAAGTCAAGAAATAAAAATCTTGTTTAATTATATTTATTATTTTCTATTCAAATGTAATATAAAAATGCACATAACGATTTTTTGTTATTTTGTTCAGTATATATTGGATACCACCAGAATGTTACACCGATTTTACATCCGCAAAATATAGTCTTCAAGCGGATATATGGGCATTGGCAACAACCATTTGGGAGATATTTTCCAGAGGAGCTCCTCCACCTAAATATCACAAAACTCATACTGTTAAAATGGTATAATATATTTATTACAAATAAAAATTTTGTTATATTATTTTTTTTACACTGATAGAACTATTTTATTAGAAACTCTGACTGTGATGATTAAATGATTGTGTTGCAGTATTATAAGTGTGGAAACCGATTGCCTCCTCCTAAAGATTGTCCAAACGAAATCTATAAATTAATGTTGGAATGCTGGGGCAAAAATAATTCCATAGCAAGGAAACAACCTCAAGCTATTATGCGAGATATCAACCAGATTCTTTATGAAGTCTATAATGCTCGTAGAACACATACTTATGCTACTATATGCCCCAAGCTATTCCGAGATGTTGATGCAAATAATGACGAAAATGGCAGTATTTATACAGAAGAAAGTAAATCAAATAGTGAATCGCAAACGAGTCTGGTCACTGATTATACTAATATTACTTGGAACGATCATAGTGAGTTGATTTAAATCTTTTTTCACTACAAAAATAATTTATATTTTATTTTTAATCAGTTTTGGTACTATTTACAAAATAGAAATTGATCAAGTTGTCGCGTCTTTAGATATTATAATAATCATGATCTCAATTCCTTTATTTATTGTAATAAAAGTATATACATATTAAGTTTACAAATAATAATATTTAATTGTGATAGCTCATACGAGAGTAAAGAATTAAACTTTAATCTTCTTAAAAGCTACGGAGCAATTGGTCAGCTATCAGAATCAAGACAGCAACATAGATGAATTGTCATTTTATCTGCGTTGGCTAAATAGTGAATTGTACAAGATGCCAGTTGCGGGTAACGGTAGCGATTGTGGTCCGAGTTGTGAAGATAACTCAGGCAAAACCAACAAAAGTAAAACCAATGACAAGGCTTGCAACAGCAAAGACAGTTCCCAATGGCAGCGTACTTATGAGATAAATGAAAATTTGGATGTGATCTTGCAAGGACGTATAGGTGAAGGCTTTTATGGTGAAGTATATAAGGGTACACTCAGAAGGCGCAATGGTAAGGAAGTTGATTCGGAGCAGGATGTAGCCGTCAAGAAACTCAAGACGCAAGCGGATTCAGAAAATGTGCTTGACTTCGAGAGAGAAATTAAAATCATGGAGGTGAATCATTATTTTACAAATCCATTATTTTTTCAGACATTGTGTTATACAAATATTATACAAATTATGTACATATATTCACTGTTCTCTTTTTAAATTTATTTTTAGAGACTCAATCATCCAAATATTGTAAAAATTTTATGCTCAGTAGACCGAATTCTGGTGATGGAATTTATTCAATATGGCTCGTTATTAAGTTACTTAAGTTCGCATCGATTTAGCCTCGCATATAAAACATTATTAGGCTTTGCTCTGGATATCGTTGCAGGCATGGAGTATCTCGGTAGTATGAACATTGTCCATCGAGATTTAGCAGCGAGAAATATCCTAGTAGCAAACGAGGATCGAGTAAAAATCAGCGACTTCGGTCTTGCGCAAGTGATAGCTGCAAGTGATTATTATGTATTTAAAACACTTCGTAATATTCCAATTAAATGGTAAGTATTATATAATATTAAGTTGTTCAGAAAGTTCGTCTCAAATTTTCTAGCTCAAAAGTATATTGTACATTTAAGAAATTAGCAATTATATTATGTCTACAACTTAATTCTCGGCCTTTATATTTAACAGACTACAGCATTTATTCAAATTTGAATCTTTTTCTCGTCATATAGTTGTTTTGAAGCGTCATTCTTAAGCTTTAAAATATGTTATAAATTGGTGTCAGTGCTGCGAATCTAATTTTAAAAAATTGTAGTGAAAATTATGTCATTCAAAAAGCAACATTTGAGGCATGTCTTCTTTTTGCGTAACAGCGAAAAATACGGCGGAAGCTTAAGAAATGATTTGCTCGGTTTAGACGAAAACTTTGACCCGTATTCAGAACGCGCTTACAATGATGTTAGCGCTCTAACATGCTATAGTTTACATTACGTATACTATAGAATTTCAGAGATAAAAGCGCGCTTTTATTAATAAAAACGCATTCTGAATATGGACCTTTGTGTAACAATTTTTTTAGGTATGCACCGGAGAGCTTGAGGCATAACAAATTTTCAACCCGTTCGGATGTGTGGTCATTTGGTGTGACAATGTACGAGGTTTTTAGCTATGGCGTCGATCCACAACTGTCAGTCAGGGTGGCAGAGAAAGAAATTTTAATGACTACTATAACGGACCTACTAAACGCGTTAGAACGTGGCCATCGTCTTCCTTGTCCAGACAACTGTCCACAGGAAATCCATAGAAAATTAATGTCATCATGCTGGCAATTGAATAGTCATGAGAGACCGATCTTCGCTACTCTACGCGAAGATATCGAGCAATTACTTTGTAATTATTAAAATACTTTGCAATTCTACGTAAATATTTTAAAAATATGACGTATCCCACTCGTAATTCTTACATCAATGGGAGATTCTTTGACGAATTTATGGTTAATTTTTCTTAAAAAGTCGGTTTTATTCCTTTATAAGATCTCTGTACAGAATTATGTATAATTCAATTCTATATTTATATTTTTAAATAAAATATAGTTCTTCTATAAAAATTTTAATTAGAAAGAAAATATGAAATCAAGGAATCTATCATTGGAAAATTAACAATCTTTCCGATCTTTAGATCTTGTATAGAAGAGATGTATCTAGTCGAAGATATTATCGCCATTTTATTACATGTTACGTAAAATATAGCGCTTGAGTACAATATCAGTTTATTATTTATGAAACCAATTACAATTCTGTTTCATTCCTTTTACTTATAATTTTCAACTCTCCAATCAACTTCCTATAAACCAAGGCGTACACAGAATGAGGATTGAGATTAAATCGTTGACTACAAATCAATTGCACTAACATTGTACCACTAACGCTGAACACTCTGTTTGAATTGAATCTTTTTGTAATTACACTAATTCGTCTTATTTAAAAAAATATAACCAAATAGGTATTTCATTCATAATTCTTACTACAATGAAGATTTTCTTTGATAAAGTTAAAGAATTTTATTTTTGTATTTTTAGTTAGGTAGGTAGATTTTTTTTTTTAAAGAAAAAGATACAAGTCTCTAAAAATCTCATTCAGAAAAATAGAAAAACATAAAGATCAGTTACAGTAGGGTTTTTCTAATTGTAATATATAATTATGGTATACCTTTTTCGTTTTCCTTGATGTCGCAGAATTGAACATCTATTTTTTATATTTTACATCTAAATTTATATCTATATCTTAAAAGAAATACTTTTATATCTTGTTTCTAATATATAAGAGTATCTAATCGATAGTAGCGTACTGTGTCGTTAAATACGTATGAATGCCGCATAAGTATTTTTTACGTTAAATTTTTTGTAATTCTCACCTTAACTTTTCCCATTAAAATAGAAAAATTGAAGCGATACAAATTACTTACAAACTATAGTCTACGAAATAATCACGCGTAAAAAAACTGTAGAAAAAAAGTAAAGACAATTTCTGTTTGGACGTCCCTACCGATGGTTCTTTCTCATGTAATTACGCGAATACTGAATACTGCTGATCAATTCTAATGATACTTTTAAGAAATTTTCATTTCCGTATTAAGTGTCTACATTTTCCTTTGATGTAATTTGCCAGATAATGCTATGATGATTGAAGAAAAAAAATAAAAAATATGAAGATCAGACGGATTTTAAAAAAAGAGAGAAAATGGCTACGATAATCGAATAACAACTGACTCGTTTCTACAGTCAGTTCTATTGAAACTTGCGAAGCAAATGGAACATCCTAAAGAGTATTACTACAAATTTAATCGATTTCTTCTATCGGTTAGCGGACTATGGCCTTATCAAAGCGAGTGGAGTGCTCATTTAATGAGAGCTGTTATCACGATGTTCATGCTGTCGTCTGCATTTTTTCAGGTAGTTTTAAAAAATAGGCGGTTTTAAAAAATAATTTTCTTTTCAGTTAAATATTAAATATTTTTCAAGCTGAAGGGTCGGAAACAACATATGATATTAAAAAACAAATAGAATATAAATTCAATACAAAAAGTAAACAAATAGATTCTATTTTTATCGGAGGATATTCCCGCAAGACAATTAAATCGAACTATCTGTGTTCCAGATAATTATTTCTCTATGAAATTACAATATATATATTTTCACATACAACCCACACCCACATTTTTATCAATGGTTAATAACATTATATACTGTCTCTAGATTTCGAGCATGTTTACATCTGAAGTTTCTCTGGACTTTATAGTGGATGGAATACCATCTATTTTACTTACACTAGGTAGCTTGAGCAACTTATATTCTCGTATAATGTACATAGATAAGGTAAGTTTCTAAAAAGCATTTTATTAGACTTCATAATTTTTGTTAAATTCAATAGAACACATCTTTTTTGTTTGTAATTCTTGATGCAATTCTTTAATATGCCAAAATCTAGACTGCCATTAATTTTTACATAAATAGAAGAACATTACTGTCGTGTGTATACAAATTGTATTTTGTTTTAATGGAATTTATGTGTTATTTAGTTTAATCTTACACTAACTCAGACAATATAGCGTGTTCTAATAATACGTATCCAATAATAATCCTATAGGCGCATAATTTAATATTTTACGTAATATTTTAGACATATTCCTAGAATTTTAAATGTAGCATATAGAAAATATTTTACAAAAATTATATAATATTAAATATTATAATAATCTTGAAATATTAATGGATGATTATATGTCCACTCTTGATAATATATAATTATAAAAAGAAAGTAACATTATTTAATGTTACTGTAATATCGTATGACTATTATAAAGTATTATAATAATATTTATTTTAATTTGTAAAATTGTTACATCGGTTCAATTTAAGTATTCGACGTATACTATACGTTTAAAAACTGAAAATGATTTTGACATGCAATTGTAAAACTGGATATATACGTAAAATCACATCGAAATTTAAGTACAAGATGCAGCATAGACTGATAAGACTTTTTTGTTACTGGATTGTAAATTTAAATTGCACAAATATACAAATAATTATATATAAATAAATTTTATACACTATTCTTGAAATATTATAATAACTTATTTCAATTTTTTAAAATAATATTTACCTAACATTATAAAAATATTTTGCGCTTATAGAGAAGTATATAAATAAAAGCTATACATAGGTAAATATAAAATATAAATTTCGTAAATTTTTTAGTACTACGTTAATAGTTACAATTGCAAATCAATACGGCTTAATATATAAATGCTTATTGATATTTTTATTATTGACTTTTAAAAATATATGGTTATAATTTATCGCTTCCTTTTAGTTTAGAGAATTATTCGAGCGTATGTGGCAAGACTGGGCATTTCACAAGACGCATCATGAGATCAAGATTATGCATGAGCATGCTGAAATTTCAAGATCATTCACATTCTGCTACATAAGTAAGAAAAACATTGAAGCTCTTATCTATATTAGAAGAAAAGGACATGCATTGCTGTCGTACTGTTATAGTAATAATTCGTACGTTAAACAGCGCGAATAAGAGTCAAATTACAATATAAAATCTAAATCTGATAATTTATTCTAATATTATATATTGCGAAGAATATCACGTAATTTTTGGCGTTTCGTCCCGACTTCCACTACTGGACTCATCAGTAAAAGGCATTGTAGTGGAAGCCTACCTTACGCCTTGGTAAGTTATTAAATCGAGATTCTATATAAAGAGATATACGCGTGTCTCAGCACTTACGAGAATTTGCGAATATCGATAGACCTCTGATGACGAGTCGACGTAGTTATATTCTTCGCAATATTTATGCAAAGTAGAAAATAACGTTCTATTAATTTATGTAGTCCCCCCAAATTGCGCGCCGAACAATTGTCGGTCTTACAACGCAACTCTAATAATCTGATTTTTAAATGTCCCCTCTCCCTAATTATTGCGCGCCGAAAGATTTCGGTCTTGCAACGCAACTCTAATAATCTGAAATATCCCCCCTCTTAAATATTTGCGCGCCGAAGGATTTCGGTCTTGAAACGCAACTATAAATGTCAAATCTAGAAACTGTTAATTTTTACTTATTGAAAAGACTTACAATGTATGATCCGCGTTGTTACAGCCTGCGGTTTGAAAACAAAAGTACTGTTATAGGCTTCGTATTCGTATTAGTTATGTTGTTACATTGACGGTCTTTAGAATTTAATATTGATTATGAATTAAAAATTGTGTGTAACTTTTACAAATATATTAAATTTCATATTTTTAACAGTGTAGTCCTTCCTTTATGCACAATAATCTTGTCATTAAAATTATATATATTATATAAATTTTTGATTACCTAATTTTTCAGTCTTGACATATGTGAACATTGTGGGATACAACATATGGATGTTCTTACCAGAAATTCTTGACATTACGTCGCCCATGAATGAGTCTCGCCCGCGGAGGCAACCTTTTAATGCTGAATTCTTTGTCGATGAAGAGCGGTACTTTTATTTCATTCGTTCCCATATATGTTTTGTAATTATAATCATACCTATAGTTTATATTGCCAGTTCTACTCTATTTCTGATTCTCACGCAACACACTTGCGGAATGTGCGAGTTACTGGGGTAAGAATTTATTTTACTCGCATAATTTATTATTTGCGAAAGAGCAGATGATTTTAAGATTGCTAAAAAATGGAACATTTATAGCGTGCGCGCGCGTGTTTTCAACTAGTTTATTAATTTAGTTTATATTAAAAATCGAATTTATGTGATGAATACACTTTTTTATTTATATGGAAAGAACGATTTTGCTGAAGTATCTAAAAATTTAGCTATAGATACAAATCTGAAAATAAATTTTATTAGATCAGAAAAATAATTATGTAAGATGCTTAAGCTGATTGCTAAGAATATTAAAATTTTTTGTAGTATTATTGCTTATCATGCTTGAATTTTCTATAAATATATAAGTACTAAGATAACGCTTGTTATGTTTTAAAAACGACAAATTAAGATATTAAATTTCGGTATTATAAACAAGCAAACGATGTAAAAACAGTTGACAAACTTTATAATAATTTCACAATTTAAATTTTAAGCGAAACGTTTCGACTCTTACTGTAGTCCTCCTCAGTCTCAATATAATATATACAAAACATTAATATAAAAATAAATATAACAATTTAAAACAATATATATAATTATAAAATATAAAGTCAATAAGTGATTCTTTTGACAACTGTCTTCTTATACACATCACATCTGCGTTACATTACAATAAATTGGATTTTGAGAGAGAATTATTTTTGGAGCATCTGAAATTAACAATCATGATGCGGATATAGTTTTATGAGATGGTTTTCTTTCCTTCAATTTACAATTTGACTAAGAGAGAACATTG